ACATAAGTTTTATTAGGGAAGCTACAGTGAACACTGGCAGCCTACTGCTAAGAATCTTTAATCCTAAAGACATGAGGTTTTGAATCAGCTAGTTGCTCTGTGGGAGAAGAATGAGCAGTCTCTTTCCATATGATACTGCCTCTGAAAACCTACTGGAGGACCCACTACGGAATGGTTCCAGCTCAATGGTACACAACAACAACAGCAGCAGCAAAATTATGGGTTACACTTCAGAAACAAGAACTCTCAGGATGTAGTTATTCAATCAGGACAGTCTCTTCTCAGCCTTGCTTGTAGGCAAGCCTCTCTCTCCTCCTTGACCTCATGATCTTGGCCTCTGCCCTGTTCAAGCAATTGTTATGAAGCTCTTTTAGCTGCCAATTATGCATCACCCCTACTCTGCCAGAATGCCTAGGCCTGGAAACACTCAACACTCACTGTGTCTGTGGGTCAGCAGACCTAGTTTCCTGGACAATTGCTCAAAGGCACCCACTTCCCCAACATTCAGCTCTCTCTCCCCATTGACCGGGAAGCCATGGAAATGCCTCAGTCTAATTGCTGATTCTCCACCGTTACTGCTGTTGCCACCAGCACCACAGCTGCCACCTCTGCTGCTGCGCTGTCTCATGGTCTTGCTCTAACTCTCTAAGGTCACAAGTCACCTCTGCTCCATGCAGAGATCTCAGGTTCAAAGTACACAGTACACCCCCTGGGTCTTTCTGATCATAGTGAGATTCTCTTTTCTGCCTTTTCCGCTCCTTCTTCCTTAATTGGCTGCTACCATTTAATTAATTAATCTTTTAAAAATACTGGCTTATTTACAAAGTTCTTATATGTTGGTTTTCACACCGGGCCTTTCCCATTTCCTTCACCCCCTCCCTCCACACTGCACATTTCTTTTCTGCCTTTTGCCTGCTCAATTTAAACCTTGTGGAATGCAAAACTGACCAATCCTTCAGGCAGTGTTCTACACATGTTATTCGCATCGTCTCACCCCAAAGGCATAATTTGCTGTATTTATGTTACTAGCAAACTGTCTAAACCTTTTAGTGAACCAAATACCTAACATTTGAATTGTCCTGCTCAGCTATGGTGACAGTAATAAACCTAATGACTAGAAAACCATATTGAATAATCCATTGTAGTATACTGTGAAAGACTGATAAATAAGCCTGGAGACTGATTGTGAAATAAATTTTATATTATGCTAAAGGTTTTAAGTTTTCCCTGAAGAGAAAAAAAATGTGGAATCATTGAAAGGGTGATGACATGGGAAGGACATAATGGACTTGTAGTTAGGGGTGAGGATGCTGATGGCTTGTCCTTATTAGACTAGAGTGATTAGGGGAATTGGGGAAGTGAGTTTGGAAGCGACCACAGTGGTCCATACAAAAGATGGCAAGGGACTGGATTCAGCAAGGGATTGGAGAGAAAAAGAAAGATTAAAGAACAGTACTACTGGTGATTGGTAGGCCATGGCTAATTGTAAAATGCAGTGTAAATCCTGATACAGAGAGGAGTGGAAAATGGAGGAGAGAAAACAAGCTCCTCTTCCTGTATTTCCTTTCTCAGTACTGGCCTCACATTCTTCCTGGTCCCATTCAAACTCTCCCCTCATCCCTCAGTCCGCTGGCTTTGCCTCTCCTCTGTCCTTACCTCAGCTGCCATGGTGTGGCCTCACCATCACCCTCGGTCTCCTTATTGTCTCAGTCACTGTCTGGCTGCTTCCAACAGGTCCTATAATCCAACCCACTCATCTACCCTCCACAAAGCTTTGTAAAATACACATTGGTTTATGCAGGAATCTTGTCATCAATACTTTTAAATGGATCCACAAGATGTCTCTAGCACTAGCTCTCTTTCACCTTCCACTTTTCCTTCCTTCCTTCCTTCCAGTTGCATGAACGCTTCCCAGATTCCTGTATCTTCCCAGCTATTACCACTCAATGCCTTTGCTCATATGTTTCCCTCACAGGTTTTACTCACCTCTTTTTGCCTAAAACCTGAACTTGAATTATTATTTGAGATCATTCCTTCCTCTGAAAAATGTTATTTACTTTCACTCCACAAATGCAATAGGTCCTTGCCTTTCTTAGATCTCTTATATACGTGTGCAGTCTTCTGTCTTAGCATTTATAACACTTTTATTTGCAGTCTCTACCCACTGCTAGACTTTGAGCTATGTCTTACTGGTCTTTGCATTCCTAGTGTGGAACATTTCTGCTGCCAAAGAGAACAAAATGCCACACAAATACCAAGTGGCATTTGTATCATTCACTCATCAGCAAATATTTATGGAATAGCTACTGTGTGCCAGGGATTGTTTTGAGTACTGGGTATATATTAGGGATCAAGACAGAATAAAATTATTTCTTCCTCATGGAGCTCACATTCTGGCAAGAGAGAGAAATGATCTATATACATCATAAATAAGTACAGAATATGTTTGGGATGTATTTTTGGAAACAAATAGAGTGGGAAGTGGGAAGGGATAGAAATATTGAAGTGGGAAAGGGAGATTCCATTGTGAATTGGTGGTCAGAGTAGTCCTCATTGAAAAGGTGATATTTTGATAAATGCTTGAAAGAGCTAATATTTTGACATTTTAAGGAACCAATATTTTGATGAATGCTTGAAGGAGTCAATAAGGAAGTGTGTTCAGGAGAGAAGGGCAACAAGAGCTTAGGCCCTTTGTGGAGAGCATGCTCAGTTTGTTTCATGAGAAGTAAGGAAGTCAGTGTAGCTGGCGAGACATGACAAAGGGGAAAGAGAAGAAATGGAAGTCTGAGTGAGAGAACCTTGGGGCCAGATCTTACAGCATCTTTTAAAAGACCATCTTAGGACTTGAACTTGTTCTCAGGGGCACTTGGAAGATTTTGAGCAGTGGCATGACATGAATGGCTGAAATTTTGCTTGGGTCTTCTCACTGCTGAGTTAAGCATAGCCTGTCAGGGGGAGGAGTGTTGGAGGTGTCAGCAGTAATCCAGGTGAGTAATCCATGAGTATGGTTCCAATTAGGGCGACAGCAGGAGGAGTGGTCAGATTCTGGATTTACATGAAGGTAGCAGTGATGGATTGGCCAATGGACCAGATGAAGGATATGGGAGACAGAAAACAAAGATAAGTCTTGAGTTTAGACCAGGGGAACCGAAAGGATGAATTTATGGTTATTAAGGTAGAAAAGCAATGGCTACCCCATGGACTGCCAAAAGAACAAGCGAGGTGCAACCAGGGTGCTCCATCACAGCAAAGATAGTGAAACTTGGTCTCATACATTTGGGGCCTGTTGTCAGGAGGGGCCAGTGCTGGGAAAAAGACATCATGCTGGGAAAAATAGAGGGCCAGAGAAAGAGAGGAAGACACTCAACAAGGTGGACTGACATAGTGATTGTACCGAAAGGCTCAAGCATATCAGAGACAGTTAAGATGGTGCAGAACAGGGAAAGGTTCCAGCCTGTTGCTCATAGAGTCACGGTGAGATGTGGTTGACTTGACAGTATATAACAACAAGAATGTAATGGCAAGGTGGAAAGCATGTGGATGGAGCAAGTTTTGAGGAGAGAAGACGTGTTTGGCTTTGAAGAATTATGTGTAATGTCGATTTAGAAACACCACCAAGGAAGGTAGGTGGGCCAGTGAGTGGAAGAGTGCTATGCTTACCTACCTACTAAGTTCATTAATTACACTACAGCAAATCATGTAATTGGTGTTGCTGAATTGTAACCTGCTGCCTTTGAGTCAGTTTCAGCTCATAGGAACCCTCTGTTGGGTTTTCAAGAGTACAAACCTTTTCTGGAATGAGCCATCTTTCTTCCTCCTAATGGTTGGTGAATACAAACTGTGTTTGTCCTGTTCTTTTTTTTCCCCCAGTTTTTTTTTTTATTTTATGTACAGTTACAATTAAAATTATAGCTGATTGGCATTTTGTACTCTGGCGTTAACACAATTTTTTAATTGTGATTATATATATA